GAACGAAAATGAAAATTTGCTTGATAATTCAACTACGCTTGTTGGAGAACAATAAAAACACTACACTCAACAAGCCACCAATAAAACTCAACTGCCTAACCTATAACCAAAGTCTCCTTTTAATTTGTTTTTAAAAAAAAGCGCTTGACAAACTTGCCCCGCATGCCGAAGTTGCCCCGGTCTCCCCTATATATAGGCTATTCTGTTAACAATACTGAATACCGTATGTTCTTTTAAGAATGAAGTGCAATATTTTTATTTTATTTTTAGAAGAAACTTTTAAAATTAATTTATTTTCTTCCGTTTTCTTAAATCTACAGCGTATCCTAAAAATATAGATAATTTATGTGTTTTTATTTATAGCACGATAAAATGTTATTGTATGTAATTGATTTTACAATGTTTAACAGTTACATAAAGTGTTAAACACAAAATACGTATTTCGTGATGTTTCAAAAGAAATTTTGAGCAATAGTTCATAACATAAATTGATGAAAATTGTTTTAATATGAAATGGAACTTCCATTATGCTTAATGGCTTCAAAAAATGCGATTAGACACTGATTTAATTAAATTTTGTAAGATTTCTGGATCTATTTAAAACCGGCACTCTATGATTTCTTGTTTAAGCTCTGAAACCGTCGTAAAATACTTATTATTAGCATAAATTTTTCGAGCAAGAATGTCTCACAAGTTCTCTATAGGATTAATGTCCGGGCTTCTTGCCGGCCACTTCATAACTTTAATATTATGATCTTCGAGTCACAGAGTTTTTTAGCATAAACAATGAATACTGGAATGTCCTGTTGGAAAATCCAATCAGATCTCCAATTTTTTTCTCTAATAGGTAATAAAATTATTTTTCGGGACTTCATGATAACTTTTAAATGTTTGTTTATCAGTCAAAATCACTAAATTTGATAAACCATTAAATCTAAAGCAGAACCACACCATAACAGAACCACTACCGTGTTGCCTGCACCCTTCTTTCCTAATATCATGCCAGTAATTAGGCCATACAAATTAAATTTCTTTTTATCACTGAAAAGGACTGAGATCCATTGGTGATTAAACAGCATGTGATCTTTAGCCCATTGCATTTTTGCCAATTTGTGTCGTTTTATTGGTGATGGTTTTTTCATCAAGGCATCAAATTTCGTACGTGGAGCTGATGAAATTCTTCGATTAACAGTGCTTTTTGATATTTTTTAGTCCATTTTCACATCAAATTTTACGAACTGATTTATCCTGTTGGGATTCAAGACGGACAATTCAATCATCATCCCTTTGACATATGATTTTGGGTCATTCAGATTAATGTTTAGAAAGTATTGATGATGATTTTTCCAAAATTTTATAAATTCCAGGAGTAGATGTGTTCATTAAAACAGCAATTTCCTTGACGCTACATCCTTCTGCTTTTAATTTCCATATTTCTGCAATGTCTTTCACACTAAATTATGTGGAATTTTGGAAAGTTTTGATTCAGTGTTTAAATTACTACTTGACAAAAAAGTAAAAGTGTTATGTGATACCATTTATTTTTATAATTATAAGTTTCTTACGCTTCAAATTTTGCAATTCTGTTTTATTATCTATACGTTTGGGACAGCCAAAAATATATTTTTGTTGTTAAATTATTAATATAATGTTCCTTAATTTTGAAATAATCAAAAATCAATATAAAGTAATTTTGCATATGCAAATGAAATCATTTACATTTCTCTTAAATTCATAAAAATTTTGAAAAGCAGTAAAATGTTGATTATATAGTCTATATATATATATAAATATATATATATACATATACATATATAGCAAGGATCAATAACAATATTTTAAAATTATCTTCATTAAAATTTCGGTTATTGACCTTTCTCTTTATTCAATTGAATATCCGTAAATCGATTATCGAGATTCATTATTGGTTTATTTATTGGGAGTAAACAATAGTGAAGACGATTTAGAACTTCTCATAAATATCAAATCAGTATCGAATTTCAATATAAATGCGGTGATGTTTGATTAAAGTAAAGTTATTCACTCTTTCTATTTGGAAGATTTTACTTCACGTGGTGATGCTTTATATTGTTAAGAAAGTAAGTAATGCCTCAACAAGTTTCACTTTTATCGTTGTTGATATATATATAGGGGAGACCGGGGCAAGATCGGCATGTTAAGCTTTACTTAAATTTTGTGTAATAAATACTGCTGTAAACTGAAAAAAAAGCTTTGCATATTGTCTATTGGAATGTTACCTTACTATAGAACTGGTTAAAATCAGTTTGGAAATAAAAATAATTAAAATAATTACAACTTTACAAGAAGAGANTTCACACTAAATTATGTGGAATTTTGGAAAGTTTTGATTCAGTGTTTAAATTACTACTTGACAAAAAAGTAAAAGTGTTATGTGATACCATTTATTTTTATAATTATAAGTTTCTTACGCTTCAAATTTTGCAATTCTGTTTTATTATCTATACGTTTGGGACAGCCAAAAATATATTTTTGTTGTTAAATTATTAATATAATGTTCCTTAATTTTGAAATAATCAAAAATCAATATAAAGTAATTTTGCATATGCAAATGAAATCATTTACATTTCTCTTAAATTCATAAAAATTTTGAAAAGCAGTAAAATGTTGATTATATAGTCTATATATATATATATATACTTTTGGGACACACTTTATTAAATATTATTTATTATATATTTTTTGTTATTTTTATTCATTCAGATGAGGTTTTCTCTCTTAATATTTTATTTTATTTTTTGTTATTTAAATCTTATTTTCTATTGTTTTTAAGAAATACATCAGGTATATATATATTTATTTTTCCAGAAAATTTTTCTCGTTATAAATTCTTGTTTTTCTCAACATTGTTTATGTAACATAAAAACTTTGAAATTTCCTAAAAGTTTAAGTTATCTTTGTTTGTACTAAATAAAATTTATAAAGAAAAACAAACATACTTTAGAAAAAAAATTAATTAAATTTTAAATAATACGTTTTTTTACATATTTACACATGTTTTAGTTATAAAAAATGTAATGACATAAAGCAAAATGTCCAATATTGTTAGTTGAATCGTAGAATCATTCAATAAATTGAATTCTCTCAATACATTGAATGGTTATGAATGGTTAAGATGAATTGGTGTTGGATTGGTTGTACCATTCATCTTAAAATGTTACATGTATCAAAAGATACAATGGACGTTTCAAAAAAAAAGCATATTTTCTGTAGAATACTTTAGGAATGATACATAAAACTGATACGTTTTTCACAGAATTACTATATTACATATATTATCTCGTACAGATATAAATTCTTTACTATGCAAAATCTGCTGCCAGAAATTCTCAATTTATCAGGAATAATGACTTGTTAAAAATAAAATTTTCTATTTTAGTATAGAATTTTTTGAGATATCGAACAAGTGAAATTCTATGGAGTACTTGAATGAGATATCGCCATACTCGGAAATGAAGAAAAATGACCCCCGATGCTAATATAAAATCATTTTGTATTAAGTGATGTATCAATATATCGAGGCATTTTTCTGCAAATAGATGTCTATACTTCACAAAGATAGTACCTGTCTTTACTAATCGATCATATTCGTTCCTATTGCATCTGACATTTTCTCCTATATTCTATCAATCATGCTTCTGAAGAAAGATAGATACATTACATGTAACCACATAATTTCCAACTCTACTGATACTAAATCTTTTCCTCTATATGGATGAATAATTAAGTTATAATCGATATAATTACAATATACAAAAGCAGCATTTTTACGAAGAATTTTATAAATTTGCCTTTGTTTCTTCAACAATTCTTCATTGATTATCTTTTTGGATTTCATATTTTCTTTAGGAGTTTTTTTTTCCTCCAATGGGTAGTTTAATCCCTAGAGGAAAAGACAGTAATCTTTGATCAATGGTCAGAAGATCTTGCTAAGAAGATCACGAAATAACATTTTTTAGTATGATATACCACGAATGAAAGTCGTAAAATCGCAAATATATTGTCGATAAAGGTTGATTATTTAATTATTGTATAAATTATTTCTCAATGCTTCACAAGCCTCTTGTGATGTATCTTGCTCCATTCTCAAAAGAAATTCTGAAAGAAAAATATATCCTTGGCAAGAACGAAAATCATCCAATAGAGATTGTGAAACTTCACTTGAATCTTTCAAAAAACAAAAGACTGTAACAAACATTTCCACAATTTCTAAAGGAGATAATTCTTGAACTCTCTGCATATTCTCCACACATAATGAAACACATTCTTTATTGTGTATGTAGCTCACAACCGGTTGGGTGAGACCATGACGAGACAATGTCATCAAAACTTCTGCAGCACTTTTTCTCCATACAGTATTATGACTCGGACACCAACCAGTTATAGCACTGAACAACAAAGTTAAATCATCTTTACGAGCTAATTCCTCAGCAGGACATGAATGANATCTTTGATCAATGGTCAGAAGATCTTGCTAAGAAGATCACGAAATAACATTTTTTAGTATGATATACCACGAATGAAAGTCGTAAAATCGCAAATATATTGTCGATAAAGGTTGATTATTTAATTATTGTATAAATTATTAAATTAATGTTGCAATTTGATATATATTTTCATAAACTACATCATTATCGTTACATTATTTATTACATCACCAATATTTATTAAGTAATTAATCGTTAAACAAATGTTAAACTTTCTTGATATAAAAATGTATATTATTAAATTTTATAAGATTATTTATTTAAATAATATAAAAATAAAAGTAAAACAATCACTTTAAAGTTTTATCACTTGATTTTTAAGACAATTAAATTTAAAAAAATCCAAATTTTTTTTTCTTTTTTCAATTTTGATTGTCTGCATGAAAATTTATCCCTGGAGAGTTTTAAATTTGAAATATATGTTGGAATTCCTGTCAAAATTAATTTTTTTAAGAATGATAAAATTTATATTTCAGACAGACATCTTTAAATCTTCCGATCAATGTTATTATTGTCAATACAGGCTGCTGCACTTTAACCCACTCCACATTAATCAATGGAAGGTTCTAAAAGAAAAAGAAGAAAAAGAAAAGAACATAACTAGTTTGTGGTGTGAGATACTAACGTTATTTACTGTTTTCATAATCAGGATATCTGTCTAAAAAAAAGCTTCTACAGAAATCTATATCGAATACATAAAAGCTATTTTTGATACTTGGACTGTATAGGATCTAACAATCCTCTACTTTGCCACAAAATGGTAAAAATAATGAATTATAAAATTAATAATAATTACAGATGTATGATTTATTTTTAAGATTTTTATCCATAGATTTCGTCATTACAATTATTAAAGTGTAAGAATTGTAAAATTAATTAACTGTTTTCTGAAATTAAAGCCCACAAGACTACATACATTCATACAATAACAATAATACTATAGGTTTATTAGGATGAAGTTTTCTAAAAGTATTAAGCGTAAAATCGAATTAATAATTGAAATCTTACTAATTCAATCTGGATTTATATAGATTTCTGCTTTATTCACCAATGCAATCTGATATATTCCTGTAGGATGCCAAATAAAGTATTTTGTTATTATTTAATATTTTTCACCTACCTCTTAAATAATATTTTAAAATTACAGTCATTTTTTTTATTTTAAATTTTAAATAATTTTTCTAAACCATCTTCTCTTTTGTTAATAAGATAGCCTATTTTCTGAAAGCGTATTTCATCATCTTCAGCTCGAGTATCATCCATCTCTCTCTCTCTCTCTCTCTCTTTCTTTTTTTTTAATGAGATAATACTTTATATCTAACTCGGTACAGAAGTGTTTAGTAATAATAACAACAATTAATTAATATTGAAACATTTTTTTTACAGTAATTAATTTTTTTAATAACGTTCTGTAACGCGAGTCAATGGATATTTTTCAATTTCTCACTAGAAAAACATATACCAGTCAGAAAATAGCTGGAAGATAGATTTATTTTTTCAAGAGAAAAAAACATATATATATAAAATGACATTTTATCAAAACAATTTTTTGATATTCTGATGTTTCAAAGTTGTTATTTTCTCCTACATTGTCAGCCACGCCTTATACAAGATCCCATCTTAGATTTTAATCTTATTTTGATACAGTAAAAGACTTAACAGAGATGATGCTCATTTATTTTTCTGATAAAATATGTTAATCGCATCAGAGCTTTCATGTCTAATCAGCCAAATTATATACAAATATTTTTTCCTATCTTGATTATATTACTGATAAAATTTATTTTCGGTGAGTGGAGAAGATGTCAAAGCTAATTAATCTGTATCATAATTAAAGAAGTATAACCGCAAAATATTCAGCAAGGAACGTACAAAAAAAAAGAAGTAATAATAATAAGTTAAAACGTTATTATAAGACAAAAAATAGAAAACAGACGTAGATTTAAAATATTTAGAAAGTTGGCATTATTCTTTTAAGTGAATTATCTGCTTATTAACTATGAATATTTTAATAAAACTTTATTATTATCAATATTATTTTACACTTTTATGAATTAAAACGTTTGATCATCTTACAAAGGAATAAAATCTTTCAATGTTTTTTCGGTTTAGTAATTCATAAAATTAATAAATTAATAAGTTTTAAGGTTTACAATTTATACAAGAAAAATCTTTAATTTTTTTATTAATAAATAATAGCTTTTTTCATATTTCCTTTCGTTGACCAGGTCTGACCAAGAGTTCAAGTTAGGAATAACTTTAGTGTGTAATTTCTCATCGAATTACACACCTATTTAAGTGTTACCTCATACAATCGTCTAGTTTTATTGGAGCCTAAAAAGTGAAAGATATAGAAAGATAAAATTTTATATTCATTTTATGTATCCGTTAGTCTGATTGTCTATTCTCAAAGTTTTCTGTAAAAACAAATAAAAAAAAATTTAAACTGCAAAAATTGATGGATGACGGAATAGGGTCATTTATTCTCATATTCTATTTAAATTTAACATAAAAGTCTTCACTTTACTTTTCTATATAAGCTATAGCATTTCAGAAAATTTGTAGCTAATTAAAATAATAAAAAGTTTAAAAAATAATGTAATATACTTATGTGTAAAAGAGTGTTATATTATATACCGAGATAAGATTAATATTGAGAAAGTTTAATATTATTGCATTGTTTATTTCCTAATAAGTTATAACTGTCAAATATATAGTAATTCATCATTTAAATTTTTTTATATTAAATACTTTCTACAATGAAACGTTCGAGAGGCGTCACTTTCAATCGATAGATTGGAGAAATCGTCATGGCGAATTTAATTAGCAACCAGTCAGACAATTTCCTAAGGAACTTAGAGAAAACATAGGAAATCACAATTACAAATATTTGTAAAAGGATTTCGAAACTTGTTTATTCTTGATGCATATAATTTCACATATATCCTATTCGTTTCTTATGTTTTTACTTTATAGACTTATTACTTTAATTATCAAATTATTATTTTTTAGTAAGATGCGATGAAAATATTTATCTCGTTGACATAAAAGTTTTACATATAAATATATTATTATTATTATTATTATTTCTTTTATGATCAGTTGTTTGTTGACTATAATAGCTTGGCAACTTTTCTATTATTATTCTTCTTAAATTTTTTTTTTTTTTTGTTATTAAGATCGAACCTCTTTCCTCTTTATGTAACATCGATTTATTGATTTTACGATAGGAGCTATTATAAAAGCAGCCAAAATGATCATTTTTAAAGCAGATCTAGATAATTTTATATGTTTGGTAAAATATTTTTTTCAAATTTTCTAAAGAAATTTTATTAAAAAAAAAATAATCTAAATAAATAATACGTTGAAAAATAAATCGAGTAATTTAAACATGAAAGAAAAATATTAGAATTACAACTCAAGTATTTAATAACTAAGCATTTAGAAGTAGACATAAACATTTTATAATTATCATTTAAATATAATCGATATTTTATATTCTTTACACGAAAAATGATAAATAATAAATCTGATTTGTAACAGGAAAATCCCATCATTTGCACAAGGCTAATTACTAACGGTGCGTCAAAGTGACATCTCATATTGCGCTATATATCGATTGCTTTTAACACAGAATATTAACAAAATAAATTGCTTTAGATATTAGATAAGATTGTTTAAGTTAAAAAAAAAAAGTAAAAATTCTCTAACAGATACGCGGTTTATAACAAGTTCAATGACCTTTCGCGCTCAAGCAATTGAAATTGTTTCTGAGGTTTGTCGACGCCACATGTGATTTATCACCTGTGGTTCATGACTTAGAATTCGTAACTTTGCTAAAGCCACGTACACTTATCTTAACAATATTCGCTATACTATTAAATATGATAATTTATTTCTATATTCCGAATAGAAAAAAAAATGATATTAAAAAAAAATCCTTTAAAAAGATCACTCTCTTTAAAATTCATTTGTTCTCGAATCGAAGTTGATAAATTAACACTTTAAAAGTTAAATTAAGAGTGAAATTTAATGTTCTCTTTTCGTTAAATTTAGCATAAGTTTTAATAAATTATTTATTTATTAAATTGATTTATTTATATCGCTTGACGTAATATTTATACTGATATAAATATTTTTTACAAAAGTTTTTTTTTTATTAATGTCATTAAATTCCCTATAAAAACGATTTAATTGTAATTTAAAAATTAACACACTAAATGTGTTAAATTTCAATCGTAATTAAAATGTATCAATTATAATGCAATTTATAAAATAACAATTACAATTTTTAAAGTATCAATTATAACATTACGCCATTTTGTTTTTTTTAAAATAAGATTTATTGCATTTGTTTTTAATGGTCCGCTTAATTTTAAGCATGCATAATTTAAAAAGAATTTTTATAAACTTTATTTATTTTATGTTTTTTTCTTTTTGAAATAAATTTAAACAGACAATATTTTATGACTTATAAATCATTGATACGTTTATGTTAACGATAAGGCAAAGTTAAAATTTACAAGCTGTATTTTTTAAAGAATTTCTGGACTTAAGCTCCAGGCAAAAATATAAACTTAATCTGTTATTTTCTTAATGGAAAATTTTAAACTTTTGTTAAATAAAATGTATAAAACTCTAGGGAGATATATAAGATATATGTAAGTATGAATTCGAGATAAAAATTTATCTTGTTAAATTTTTTTTTAAATTAAAAAAAAAACAATATTACAGTTAAAAATTCTTGTTGTTTAATTGAACAGTCATTTACTTCTTTCTTTTTTTTTGTAAATTAAAACATGGAACGAATTATTTTAGTTGGAATTTTTATATTTTAGTTAAAGAATTACAGAGCAAAGAGAAAAAAATAATAGTATCTCGGGTAAGTTCAAAGAGTCTTTCAGAAGTCTTTAATTAAGAACAATTGTTAGAGTTTGCCGAAATTTAATTGATCATAAAAATTAAATTAAATCATTTGTCAGAAATACAACTAGATTACTATTTAACCAATATACTTTCATAAATTTTACCTGCAAAGCATACTAGTATATGTTTAGCCTTGCAAACTAGGTAAATTTGCTAAGATAAATGCTATCTACAACTAATATATCTCTAGATTTTTTTTTCAAATTCCATTTTTCAAAGTTTTAGTCATTTAAATATTTAAAAGCTTTTCAATTTTAAAAGCCATACTATGAAAAAGTCTAAGAGGATTATCGTCTTATAAAAGGCAATGATAAAAGTTGACACTAATAGTTTATTTCATTGTGAAAATATCTATACCGTTGAAGATTTTATAAGTTATATAAAGATGAGAGAATAAACCCCGAATTACTGTACAGATATCAAGAAATTGCAACATAATTCCGAATTAAGAATATATAGTTAAGTTTTTGAACAAGTAAAGAGTAGAAGTAGGTAGTTCAATCAAGATAGAAAAGATTATTTACTAAGTCTTCCAATAAAGATCAAGTTAAACCAATTGGGGAAACAAGTAAATCTCTCTTAGAGTTTAAAACTTTATTTATTTTTAAGNAAAATGATATTAAAAAAAATCCTTTAAAAAGATCACTCTCTTTAAAATTCATTTGTTCTCGAATCGAAGTTGATAAATTAACACTTTAAAAGTTAAATTAAGAGTGAAATTTAATGTTCTCTTTTCGTTAAATTTAGCATAAGTTTTAATAAATTATTTATTTATTAAATTGATTTATTTATATCGCTTGACGTAATATTTATACTGATATAAATATTTTTTACAAAAGTTTTTTTTTTATTAATGTCATTAAATTCCCTATAAAAACGATTTAATTGTAATTTAAAAATTAACACACTAAATGTGTTAAATTTCAATCGTAATTAAAATGTATCAATTATAATGCAATTTATAAAATAACAATTACAATTTTTAAAGTATCAATTATAACATTACGCCATTTTGTTTTTTTTAAAATAAGATTTATTGCATTTGTTTTTAATGGTCCGCTTAATTTTAAGCATGCATAATTTAAAAAGAATTTTTATAAACTTTATTTATTTTATGTTTTTTTCTTTTTGAAATAAATTTAAACAGACAATATTTTATGACTTATAAATCATTGATACGTTTATGTTAACGATAAGGCAAAGTTAAAATTTACAAGCTGTATTTTTTAAAGAATTTCTGGACTTAAGCTCCAGGCAAAAATATAAACTTAATCTGTTATTTTCTTAATGGAAAATTTTAAACTTTTGTTAAATAAAATGTATAAAACTCTAGGGAGATATATAAGATATATGTAAGTATGAATTCGAGATAAAAATTTATCTTGTTAAATTTTTTTTTAAATTAAAAAAAAAACAATATTACAGTTAAAAATTCTTGTTGTTTAATTGAACAGTCATTTACTTCTTTCTTTTTTTTTGTAAATTAAAACATGGAACGAATTATTTTAGTTGGAATTTTTATATTTTAGTTAAAGAATTACAGAGCAAAGAGAAAAAAATAATAGTATCTCGGGTAAGTTCAAAGAGTCTTTCAGAAGTCTTTAATTAAGAACAATTGTTAGAGTTTGCCGAAATTTAATTGATCATAAAAATTAAATTAAATCATTTGTCAGAAATACAACTAGATTACTATTTAACCAATATACTTTCATAAATTTTACCTGCAAAGCATACTAGTATATGTTTAGCCTTGCAAACTAGGTAAATTTGCTAAGATAAATGCTATCTACAACTAATATATCTCTAGATTTTTTTTTCAAATTCCATTTTTCAAAGTTTTAGTCATTTAAATATTTAAAAGCTTTTCAATTTTAAAAGCCATACTATGAAAAAGTCTAAGAGGATTATCGTCTTATAAAAGGCAATGATAAAAGTTGACACTAATAGTTTATTTCATTGTGAAAATATCTATACCGTTGAAGATTTTATAAGTTATATAAAGATGAGAGAATAAACCCCGAATTACTGTACAGATATCAAGAAATTGCAACATAATTCCGAATTAAGAATATATAGTTAAGTTTTTGAACAAGTAAAGAGTAGAAGTAGGTAGTTCAATCAAGATAGAAAAGATTATTTACTAAGTCTTCCAATAAAGATCAAGTTAAACCAATTGGGGAAACAAGTAAATCTCTCTTAGAGTTTAAAACTTTATTTATTTTATAGAAAGAAGATATTTATAATTTATTAACGAATCATATTAAATTTTAAAAATAAATTGCTGGACTTTATATCAGTAAGAATGAAGAATATAGTTTTATTACCACAGATCATTAATTAAACAGAAATTAATAATACACGTAAAATGATTCAATCAGATCAATTACTGATATATAATTGAATAAAAATAAATTTTATTTGAAAGAAAAATTACAATATTAAATTTATTCTGTCACATTCAATACATTTTCTTATTCTTGAATGGCGAGATATCATTAGATTAACATAAACCCTATATAAATATTTAGG